TAAAACTAAATTTAAACTGAAGTAGACCCACCCTAACAAAAAACAAGCCTGATAAAACCAAAGGATCTGGTAATTTATGGCACAACTACACTCAACACCTATTAACGTTGACAATGTAATCCGGACTCCCTTCAACATATTATCCACTATGTCCAGCATCTAGTCAAAAGTTCTTAGGCATGTGAAATAAAAGGTTCACAATAAAAAATAGGGAGATATGACACATAGTCAAGAATTTAAAAATCAGTAGAAACAGACCTGAAGATCACTTGAATGTTGAAATTAGCAAAGATTTTAAAGCAGCTCCTGTAATATGTTCAAGTACTGAAAGGGGGGAAAAAATAGTCATGATGATTAAACAGATGGAGAAAATAGAAACTTTATAATGAATGAAATAAAAGGGGGACTTATGTATTAGTTTCAACAATAAGGTTTTTTAAAATAAAAACATCAGTACTGAAAAGTTTAATATCCATAATGATAAATTCACTGGGTGGAAATTTACAGAAGAAAGGGTTATGGAACCTGAAGACAGATAAATACAAATTAATTATATAATGTGAAATGCCAAGGGTTTAAACCTTCCCATACCATCATCCTTCTTCCTCCTCCCTCCCCATAAGCATCCATGAAGAATAGACAAGTTCTATTCAAAGATAGGTGATAATATGGCTTCAGATTTCTCGGCTACACTTAATATGATAAAAAATAAGGCACAGTTTGAGTTTCGAGGAAATATAGTTGTGAGCTGGGACTTTAGTACATTATTAGATTTTCTCTGATGCATGTTTTTCTTTATTTTTAGCTAAATAAAAGTTTGTGAAATATTTGTATATTATAGTTCATCTCAACTGTATAAATAAAAATGAATTTTAAAAGGGAGTGGCAGGAAGTATGCAAAAATGTTACTTCTTTATGGGCATTCATGAGGACCTTATTTTCTGTTTCTCTGTATTTTCCAAATTTCTGTAAAGAACACATAATTCAAAAACTTAAAGATGATATGCATGAGTGTAGGACAACAGAAAGACAATGATAATGTAATACTGCCTATGAGTCTATTAATTGAGACTATTGTTTTTCATCTAAAAAGTCTCATTCTGTGCATTGAAAAATGAATTTAACCTTTAAAATATTTTGCAAAGAAGATTAAAAACATTATCCCAGAGTGAAAGATGTCTTAAGAGTTTATTCCATGATTTCATGTATATGGAGTTCTAGAAAAGGCAAAACTGATCAATGGTGGAAAAAGCGTCAGAACAGTGGCTGTTTCTGGGGACAAGGGCAAGAATTAGTTGGGAAGGAATATGTGTCTCCTTTTTGGGGTGCTGATAAAGTTATATATCCTGTTATGATTTTGAATTACAGGATGCATACATTGTTAAAACTTAGTGAATATACATTTAAGATTTGTGCACTTACATGTAAATTTTATATCTAAAGAAAAATACTGTCAATAAAAATGTTTGGCAAACATTGTTTTGTAAAAATGTAGGAAGTCTAAACTATTTCTTGCTGGCTTTGTCTTAATAACTCACAGTCTTATGATAAGTATTCCAGCCAGAGATAGGTATAAATTAGTACATTGTGCTTGTCTCTGTTAATAGTACTGGCAACGTTGTTTTGGAGTTATTTGTTTCCTCTAATGGAGTGTAAGTTCCTGGAGGGCAGGAAATCCCTGTCTTCTGACAAATTACTGTCCTGTGCCAGTATTTAATAGATCAATAAGTTTTATTCTGCTCCTCTTAGTTCTATATCTATTTTTATAATATTAATCAACAGCAATAATTAACACTAAATCATACAGGTTAATCTTTTAATTTCAAGTTCTATATTCAAGGAGATTGCTTACAGTTATATACAAATGTAACAGCAATGTGGCTTAAATGTTTTTTGACTGATTGCTATGATTGAGTTGGTGGTCTCATTGTGGGTCTCCAGTTTCCAAGTGTTTTATGAAGAAACTAGAGGCCCAGTGCACAGGTCCCTCCGCCTGGAATTCAGGGATTGGGCTGAAACTGGCTCTCCGACATCCCTTGACATCCCCCAAGGGGTCTCAGATTGAAAGAGGGCAGTTCTTGGTTAACGCATCCCGGAATCAGGATCCTTCCTCTCTGGTTCCAGGTGCGTCACCTGAAAACCGTAGCTGCCAAGTCACCGCAGCTCGATTGCTTCTGCATTGAGCATCTGCCCCCGATAGTCAGTGTACACCATAACTACCAGTCAGAGCATCTGCCCCCTCATGGTCATTGCATGTCATAGCTACTGGGTGGTCAGATTGTTTAGGCATACATACATACACATACACACTAATAAAAGAGAAATATGCAAAATTGACCGTACCTTCATGATGCCCACCTGCCAATCAGGAGTGAGTATGCAAATTAACCCAACAAAGATGGCGGGTTAGTTTGCATATGCAGGCACTGAGCACCCAGGGGCAGGACACTTGCGTCGTTGCCATGGTGATGACACATGCGTTCCACACTGCTACAGCCACTCTGGGCTTCTGGGCAGCATGGGAAGACAGGTGCTCCAGGCCAGAGCAAAGGCAGTGCCAACAGCCAAGCAAAGGAAGGCTCATTCTTGCATGAATCTTAGTGCATCGGGCCTCTAGTATATATATATAATGGACTTCATACTTAAATCATTTTGTAACATTTATATTAAAGTTACTATATTCAGAAAATGTGCCTATTCATTTTTGTGTGTGGTCTTAACCTCTAAAATGTTGAAAAATAAGACCAACTGATGCATTTGAAGGCTGGTTAGTTGTATTCCATTCTTTACATGTTAGAGAAACAAAGTGGTGCTAGGCCAAAATAAATAAATAAACCAAAAAAACCTTCTATGAGGAGGGTTAACTTAATTTCTTAAAATACCTGAAAAAATATATGGAAGAATTTCTAGTAGAAATCTTAAAGGAAATTAAAAGCATACACTTAGTTATTTGGAATATTACCATAGAATTAAAATAAAGTAACATTGGGTAATTTATAATGTCATATAAATTGTTCATCTGTATAGCATTTTATAGTTTATGAAAAAAAGTGTATTCCATTTGCTTATTATTAAATAACATTTATCAAACCCATACTATATGTAATATGCTCAGGGCTTTGCTTTCATTATCTTACATATTCCTCAGAGCTATGAAATGAGCCTTATTTTCTACATTTTACAGAGGAGGAAATTTAAAGTTTAGAGAGGCAGAGTGATTGGTTTAAGGCCACCTACCTACTAATTGGTTTAAGTAGATTCAAACTCAGATTTATTCTGATTCCTAATCTAGTTTAAAGTAGTTATAAAAATTTGTTCAAGAAATGCTTGTTGTGGACTCAATGTTCATACCCTCTGAGTTAATAAATTAGTCCTGTTTTTTATCCTCAATGTGCTTTCAGTTTAGGGACCTTGCTGTTCTAAGTTTGGTTCAGAGACCACCAGCAGCAGCAGCATTTGGGAGTTTGATAGAAGTGCAGAACCCCAAGCCCTCGCCCAGGTACAGGATCAGAATCTGATTTAACAACCTGACTTAACCCCCAGCTGATTGGTGTGCACTTCCAAGTTTGATCAGCACTAGTCCAGAGACTTAGAATAACTTGATCCAGGTCACCATGGTGGGGTCAGAGAGGCATCTACATCATCTGATTCTAACAAGAGCATCTTTAGGCTGTACCAGATTTATTTTTCTGCTTCACATAGCATGTGGATGATATTAAGTGAAAACCTTGACATTCATTCAAAATGTTTAATATTGCATTTTAAAAGATGGTTTTGGGGCATAATATTTTCTGATTTTAATGGAATTGGATATTAAATAGCAACCATTTATATGAGGTCAAGTAACCATAGATTTCATTTGGCTGTTTTAGTTTTCTATTGCATTTTATTTTTTAAATGAGATTACGTCAGGTGAACATGGGAAAAGACTAATTCTTTTATGGCCCATTGTTGTTTTTTTAAAGGATGCTTATGAAGTTTAGAAGTGAAAACTATTCCTCACCCCCTACCCCATCCTTTCTCAGTTTCCCTAATGCCTCTTTCTTAACACTGGATTTGTCATTTTTTTAGATGTGGAAGTTATGTTCTATGACTGGATTTCTCTTTCTTTACATGGCGCCCTTATGGACTAGCAGGGTCTGTGCTTTAAATATCTCCTAACAGTCCAAAATTTAACTTGATATACACACTCATGTATTAACAAACATGTTTTTTTAAATTTCACATAGGAAGCACTATTCTGTTTTGCATGCACTGACACTAACATAATAGATGTTGTTAAACAGCTCCTAACTTTAAATCACTTCCTAGATGAATGCAATAACTAATTTTGAGGATGGAAAGTGAATTCCAATAAGTTCATACACAGGCTTTTCTATTATTCTAATACTAAGTAGAAATCTAAATATCTATAACGTTTTTGTAAATACTATGAGTTTAAACTGAGCATGACTTTGTTTTGAGTTTTAATTTTTTTTTCTGAAATATAGAGGTGTTAATTTATATCAAATGGTTGACCCGAACATTTTATAATGTAATCAAATGCTTTCCTTTGATAGTACGTACAGATTTGTCCTAGATTCTAGAAATTAACTTAAAAATAATGAATTCAATAGCTATGAAGATGAGATAGAGCAATTTTATTACATCACTTACCCAAACTCAGTCATATGCCTCTATTGTCCTTACCTTCCTTCTGAAAAATGACCTTGCTTCTCTTAGAAAAGCCTCTTTCCTTTGAGCCTAAGGAATAATTAACAGAATATAAAAAGCTTCCTTGTTGAAGTAAGAGCTTCAAACATGAAAAGATATTACAGCAAGTAAGTACATACTTTTTAAAAAGTTGAAAATAAGATTTACTTTCCACCCATAATATTATTAATCATTTCAGTTATCTTAGCACTTAGATTTAGTAATAAACATTTGCTTCTACAAGAGCAGTTGGTATTAATATCAATTAAAGATTGTTCAGAAGTTTAAAAATGCATTTTATTTTTCAGCAAAGATGTCAAGGAAGTTAAGCTTGCCTACTGACCTAAAGCCTGACTTAGGTAAGTAAAATAAATAAAAATCCATAGTAGTTAAACTCCCTTTAATGGGAAGACAAGAAAATCAGAAAATTTAAAATTACCATAAATTATATTTTCATCAGAAAACAAGTTTAAAATGACTAAGTCACAGGCGTCTTCAAACTACGGCCCACGGGCCACATGCGGCCCGCAGAGGAGTCTGATCCGGCCCACCAGGTTTTTTGGGCAGTGAGCGCAGCCGAGGTGTTACAGTAGGAATTAGTAGTTCATATAGTCCGGCCCTCCAGCTCTCTGAGGGACCGTGATCTGGCCCCCACTTTAAAAAGTTTGAGGACCCCTGGACTAAGATATTAAAGAATTAGTGGCCTTTAAAAACCATCAGTAAATTATGAAATATAATTATGAAATCAAGTAAAATAGAATAATACATTTCCTTAGCCCTCTCATATCTAAACAAAATTTAGTATAAGATTAAGATTTGTGCAATTTCACATTTCTAATAAAAGTTGTTACATCACATTTAACCATCTGAAAATTTAAATTCTACAGTTTCTAAATTTGATAAGAATTTAATATTTTCAAAATAAGTTTTTTGTATTAACTCATATGAAGAACTTTTTGTTGATAATAAGGTGGGAAATATATCTTTTTCTAGAGCACTTTCTATGCAGCTAGTCCATTAAGAAAGCAGAGTGAATGTACACACATATTCCTTTTGCTTTATATGCCACTTAAAAACAGCTCCCTGATTTCACACAATAGGGACAAATGAGATTTCAATAAAGATAAAAGTAAGATTTTTATGTAATAAATATAAAGCATGGTTTCTTTTCAAACACATTTTTTAATTTTAGAAATTTGTATGGCCTTTAATTGAATAAGTATGAGTGTATAAGGTTGACCTCACCCATCTTTGTCTTGGAAATAACTAGGCTTTTCTTCTTTGAATTTGCTCACCAATCTTACCTTCTCACTATTCTCTAGATTCCTTGACTATCTTTTTATGCATAATACAAACGTAGGTATTGCTCAGGTTTACATACTAATTTAATATCTTCAAATCATAGTCTTATATCAGTTATACTGATAGGAAGTATGTGATTATGAGTGAGTGGGCATAGATTTTCTGCTGTTGTTAGTAAAGGGTTCCATGCCTGAACATGGGAAAAATAATTTAGTAGAAACCTGTAGTATCACTGATGTTTAGGGAAACATGAATTAATCTGAGAATGTATGCTAACATATGTTTTGAGAAGGGCACAGTTCCCTTTACTATAAAAATGAAGAATGTAATTTGAACCCAATTGTACCTGAGGCTTATAATATACTTTTTTTTTTTCAACAAGAGGATCTAGAGTTTTCATCAGACTCTCAAAGAGGTCCATGATTTCAATAACATGAAATACCACTAGTTAAAAGATCTTTTAGTTTCTAAAAAACTGAGAAAAGACATATGCAAATACTTTTAAATTAGTAAAAGTATCATAATTCTTTTTGGAACATTGTTATAACTTATGTAAGTAAGTTAATCTAAGTGTTTACTCCATGCTTTTGTAAGTTACCTTTAGTTGGTTTTAGATTGTGTGCCCATATATTTAAATTCCCTAAGCCAATTATAATTATGATTGATATATGCCTTGAAACAGTCTCCATGTTGTCTAAGTAATTTCTCTTCAAGTCATTGTGCTGCTGAACTATTTTTTTTATAGATTCTTAGCTGGTAATTGTTTATATTAGCTGGGAAGTCATTGGGGAAAACAGCTATAAATGATAGGTTTAGGCTGACAGGTATTGCTGAAGCAGCCAAGGCTGTTTGACTGTCCTTCAGCTCTGGAAGCTTCTGTGAGTAGAATCCACTTTGGCTTATGGGGAAATTGTGGAACACTACACTTTCACTATAGCCTCATCACTCCAGATTTCCTGGCCCATAAATCAGGAGCCACGCGTGATATTGTTAGACTCCTGATGTCACTTTTCAAATGTCAGCCACAGGAGGCAAAACATCAAATTATTATATACCATAATGTGAATTAGGAATTAGTTTTTGTCCTAATTTTTACTCTGAACAAATTTACCTCTTGGCATTGTGTTTTGATTTGGGAATATAGATTTTTTTTTTCTTTTGCATTAGGCTCTTTGTGGGGATGAGAGGGTGTATATACAAGTAATGTTCTGGGCATCTGGAGAAACAAGAGAGATACAATTTTATGACATGGTTGTTATCAGCTAGCTCTGGGTCAAGACCTTAAAGACAAATTTTATCTGAGTTTAGGTCTGTTATCAAGGTGTTTGTGTGTGTGTAAAGACTGAACTTTAATACTCAATATTAACTAAAACCTTCCACTTTTATGCTGTGACTTGGTGATATGACTAACCCATATCTATCTGGAGTGGTGTAATAGAAATTTTTGGACATGGGCACAAATCCGAACTCTTCCATTAAATAGCTTTGTCATGCTGGTTAAGTCATTTAACCTGTCTGAACCTCTGTTTTATTATTTGTTAAATTGTGATGATAATACTTTAAAGGGTTGTTATGTGGAGTCAATAAAATATAAAAGTGCTATGATAGCATATAGCACCTGGTAGCCTTCTTTACTGGTAGTTATTTTCATTTCTACTCTTGTTACTAAAACTTAAATTTCTATCCCCTGTGTTTATCTTGCCCAATTTCTAAAATTCAAGCCACAAAGACTCACAACATGTAACTTAATAGCAGTCAGAAGATGTTGTAATTCATGAACTGCTAGAAATTCTTGTATCCAAACAGTTCGAGGCAGACTAAATAAGCAGTCTAATTCTGTAAGTTCAAAGTTGATCCTTATTCACTTTGTTTTCCCATTTGATCTAGCCTTAGGCATTCCTTTGGTAATTTAATTTTTAAAGAGAAGTCATAATACATGTGAATTTGTAGTTTATGAAATTTATCTGGTTAAATTAGTTTATTAATTAAAACTACAGATTAATATTTGGATTATAGATTGTTGCAAATAATCTATGTAACTTTAATAAATATCAGTTTTCACATAGCTTAATTTACATTGAAATTTATATTATCAAATTTTCTTGTATGATTTCCAGTTTTATCACTAGATCACAACTGAAAATATATGTTCATTCATTTTGTATGTATATTTTAATTAAAGCAACAAATTAAACATTTTTATTGCAAAATAAATTTAAATTTTCTATTATTTTATCAAAATAACTTTGGAAACTATTAAGAGTTAACATTTGAATCAATATTATATTACAAATTCCCAATGAGCTATTATTTATGGAAAGTTGTTTCTACTGTGTCATAATCTGTAACAGTAATTATAATCTCAGGCAAAAGAAAGACATTTTTAGAAACTATATTTAGAAATGTCCTGTACTGTTATCATAACTAGTAATTTTTTTTATTTCATAAAATACAACTTAGAAGACCAACTTTTTTTTTTTTCTATGACGTGATGAAGTCATTTATTTCATGATAGCATTGAAAGCATGTGATTTTAGGAATGGTTTATTATATGTAGGTACTACTAGAAATTTTAATACATCCCAATGTGCGGCAGAAATGCATTGGTTTACATACTTTCAACTATAGATATGTGTTCAGCAAGTATTTATTATTTTCATATGCAAGATATCCATATGTCACAACCCTTACTTATATCAGGAAACTATGGTTACTTAGAGTGAGGCCTAAGACAAGTCAGAAGTAACTACAGAAAAATGTACTATTAGTGCCATAGAAGAGATAAATAGATAGAGATTCAGAAGAAAAACTGTGTGGTTTTAAGAATCAGGATAAACTTCATGAAGATTACGTTACCTGAGAAGGAGAATAAGCACAATCTTGAAAGGTAAAGAAATAGTGAGGCAAGGACACAATCACAAGCAAAAGTGTAAACGTAAATGCAGTGTGTTTGAAGAACACTGAATGGCTCGATTTGTTTCTCACAATAAACGGAAGCAGGGCAGCATTGGAAGATAGGACTGGGAAGGTAGGTTGAAGGTATTTTGTAGAGAGTCTTAAAAACTTGAATAAGATTATAAACGTGATCAGTAAAGAGGAACCACTGAAGATTTTAAAAATAGAAATGATAGAATTGCAACTGTACATTAATATCATTTAATTGGATTGTGTTGGAACAGTGATGGTGCAGTGGGATTACTTAGAAATTGTGCAGTAGTCTATATAGTGATAATGAAGGCCTGAACTTCTGGTAACAAGAGTTGATTTGTTATAAAAAGAGTAAAAGCAACATTGAAATAAAAACAACATAGATGTTAGCAAACCATGGAATATAGGTAGAGTGAAAGGAAAGAACCAAAATTGCAACTCATTTAAGTATTGTTCTGGTGTGTCGTTAATATAAATAATACTATTAGAAGAATTTAGAGCTTTAGGGAAGTGTTGTGTTTTAATTTTGCCTAGTGAGAGAAAAAATTCCCATAAACATTTCAAAATGCATTTCCTAGAGATAAGAGGCCAGGGCTTAAGACAGACTTGAGACTAGCCACAAAGAAGAAGGTGGCTAAAATCAAGAGAGAGTGTATTAGTATAATCTACAAGTATCCATATAATTACAGACATCTGGGAACGGAATATACTTGATACCAGTTACACATTGTGATGAAAAAATGCCTTAGATGAGTGTGGAATACATTTAAAATGGAATTCAAGAAAAATTAAAGTTAAATTTTATGTGTAAAGGCTTTCATAGGGACAGCTTTGGGGGAAAATGCATCATATAATAAATTTGAAGGTAGAATCAGGGTACTTCTAAATCCATTTTTAAATGTAGAAAATTAAAAATACTGCCCTAGCCGGTTTGGTTCAGTGGATAGAGTGTCTGTCTGTGGACTGAAGAGTCCCAGGTTCAATTCTGGTCAAGGGCACATGCCAGGGTTCAGGCTTGTTCCCCAATGGGGAGCGTGCAGGAAGCAGCCAATCAATGATTCTCAGTGAAGTATAGGGTTTGTCCATTTGCCATTTTATATTTGAGCAAATGAAAAAAATTAACATAAAAGTAAATAGGTTTTTTTTCCAGTTAAAATATCAAAATTAAATGTGTTGTCTTTTTGCAGATTAACTATTTAGCCAAATTTATACCCCCAAAATGATATTTTATAATTTGAGCACTCTCAAATTTCAAATCACTTTAGATGTGAAAGATAACTCCTTCAGCCGGTCCCGGAGTTCAAGCGTAACCAGCATTGATAAAGAATCTCGAGAAGCCATATCTGCTCTCCATTTTTGTGAAACTTTTACTCGAAAGGCAGATTCGTCTCCTTCCCCCTGCTTATGGGTTGGTACTACACTGGGGACAGTGCTTGTCATTGCACTGAACCTCCCCCCAGGAGGAGAGCAAAGACTTCTTCAGCCAGTAATTGTGTCTCCAAGTGGTAAGTCTGCTCCAGTGCTGCACTGGTATTGAACTAAGTTTGGTTTACTATATATAATAGATGCATTTGTTTTTCATTTTTGAATGAATCTAATAATTCTAAAATATAAATTAAATGGGTATAGTTACATTATAGTTTTATGCTTTTAATAAAGGAATACATGGAATAAGATTGAAGACTATCATTTAATACTACAGCTGTTCAGGTTTTGCACTTTTTAAACTCTATGATCAAGTCTAAAATTATTTCTAGCTAAGAAAATGGGGAGCCCGGCCAGGTGTGGTTCAGTGTTTGAGTATCAACCTAGCAACCAAGAGGTCACCAGTGTGATTCCTGGTCAGGGCACATGCCCGGGTTTTGGGCTCCATCCCCTATGGGTGGGGGCGGGCATGATGTTTCTATCCTGCTCTCCCTTCCTCTCTGAAAAGAAAATTGGGGGGAGGGACTTATTCTGATACATTCCAGAATACTTCAAAATACATGTTCTATAAGCAAAAGGTTGTTACATATTTAGGAGAAAAACATTTAAAAATGAAGTTTTAAAGTAGATTATTTTTCTTCTTTAAAGTAGGGAAATGTGACTTAGTAGCAAATTTTAAGAAGAAAAATATAGTCTTCATATGCTGAAAATGAGATTAAATTTTACCAAATATATGTGGAGTCTGGCAGATCTGGAAATAACAGAATTCTGGTTTCGTTTGCTCATTAATGCTGATCTAGATAGGAAAAAATGTGATTTTGCTGTTATGTCTTACTTATAGAGTGGACTTTAATAATATTTGGAATTAGAATTAAAGTAATTATGTATTAATGTTCGTTTTCGAACTGTCTTTACATTAATGGAAGTTTGATTTATATATTCAGCTCAGTAAATATTTGAGTGTATACTACTCCAAGCCTACTTAGAAAAGTTACATAATGATAATGTTCTTGTTAATCTCATTTTTATGAGTAAGCAACAGCTAAGTGTGTAGAGAAAAAAAATTGAAACATAAAAATCAAATGTTAATAGTAATTATCACTGAATAATGGGATTGTGTGTAATTTTTATTTTCTTTTTACTGATTAGTCATTTCTGAATTTCTGCAACAAGCATGCATTAGTTTGTAATAAGATATAAATATTCCCAATAAATTAAAAAGAGAGAAGGATTAAATATAGATAATGTACTACAAAATTAGCTACAAAAATATTTAAGGTATTTTTCAACTTGCAATAAAATCAAATTTGCTATAAATTTACTTTGCTATAAAAATAATTGTCATAATTAAGAGGGAATCTTTGAGTTCATTCTCAATGGTGGAATATTTGAAGTTTATTTTTTAATGAGGTACCAATTTTAAAATACAACAGACATTCATACCATGTTATCTGTGAGAAATGAGGTATTTTTTAAGCAGAAGAGTTTCTCTACTTTGTTCCATGTTTGTTTGTTTTTCCTTCAAGAGGAGAACCCAATAATTACTAGTACTCTGCTGGAAAATATAAAATCCTGCTAACTATAGGACATGCATATATTTAAATATTATCTTGTTACATTTTTTCAGAAAAATCCACATACTGGCATTACTACATCTCATATATGTCCATATGTGTTATAAACAATTCCCAAATTAGCACACTGCTTAAAATAGTTAAATTGTCTACTTGCCAAATCTGGGATATAGACTAAGACTGGAATATAGACTACCAGACTTAACAAATAAAGTACAAGATGCCCAGTTAAATTTGAGTTTCAGATAAACAAAACTTTTTTAAATTTTTATTTGTTTAAAGTAGGGGTGTCGAACTCAATCAGAGAAGGGGCCAAAATCTAAAATCCAGCCTAAATCGCGGGCCGAATGGTTTACTGAACAGTCATAAACTGTCATTTTGATGGAAACGCAGCGGAGTGCAGTGATGACAGCGCGGTGCGGGCCACATTGCAAGGCCTGGCGGGACGGATTTGGCCCGAGGGCCTTGTGTTTGACACATGTGGTTTAAAGTATTACATATAGTAGTACATATATCTCCTTTTTTCCCCACATAGACCTTCCCTTAGTCTCCCCTACCCCCTGTTGATAATTAGTGGCTTTGAGTATGTTTTTATATGTCTCTTGGCCTGCCTTCTGTCTTCTTTTGAAAAGATTCTATTTAGGTCTGTTGCCCACAAGTCGTATAAGTTTCCTGTAGATGATGGAGATTAAACCTTTATCAGTGATAACATTTGCAGATATGTTCTCCCATACAGTGGGTTTTCTTGTTTTGTTGATTGTTTCTTTTGCTGTACAAAACTTTTTACTTTGATGTAGTCCCATTTCTTTATTTTCTCTTTAGTTTCCGTTGCCCTAAGACTGCTATCAGTGAAGAAATTGCTTTGGCATATGTCTGAGAGTTCTCTGCCTATGGTTTCCTCTAGTATTTTTATGGTTTTCCGTCTTAAGTCCATTTTGACTTTATTTTTGTGTATGGTATAAGTTGGTGGTCTAGTTGCATTTTTTTTTTTTTTTGCATGTATCTGTCCAATTTTCTCAACACCATTTATTGAAGAAACTGTCTTGACTCCATTGTATGTTCATGCCTCCTTTGTCAAATATTAATTGAGCACAGTGGTTAGGGTTGATATCTGGGTTCTCTATTCTATTCCATTGGTCTATATGTCTGTTCTTGTGCCAGTACCAGGTTGTTTTGAGAACAGTGGCTTTGTAATACAGCTTGAAATCTGGTATTGAGATTCCCACCTATTTTGTTCTTCTCTCTCAGAATTGCTGTGGCTATTCGGGATCTTTTTTTATTCCAGGTGAATTTTTGTTGCAGAGTTCTCTCTAGGTCTGAGAAATAATGCCATTGGTATTTTAATGGGAAGTGCATTGAACCTATAGATTGCTTTGGGTAGTATGGACATTTTATAATGTTGATTCTACCAATCCATGAACATGGTATGTTCTTCCATCTGCTTACATCTTCCTCTTTCTCTTTTTTCAGTGTCTTCTTGTTTTTTATGTATAGCTATTTTTACCTCCTTAGTTAAGTTTATTCCTAGGTATCTTAATTTTTTTTGGTGTGATGGTAAATGGGATTGCTTTTTTAGTCTCTCTTTCTGTAAGTTCACTATTGGTGTATAGAAATGCCATCGATTTCTTGGCATTAATTTTCTATCTTGCTACATTGCCAAATTCATTTATTAAGTCTAATAGTTTTTTTATGGAATCTTTTGGATTTTTTATGTACAATATCATGTCATCTGCAAATAAGGACAGCTTTACTTCTTCTTTTCCAATTTGGATCCCTTTTATTTCTTCTTCCTATCTAATTGCAATGGCTAAAACTTCCAATACTATGTTGAACAGGAGTGTGAGAGTGGGCATCCCTGTCTTGTTCCTGTTCTTAGGGGAAATGGTTTAGTTTTTGCCCATTGAGTATGATGTTGGCTGTATATGGCTTTTATTATGGTGAGGTATGATCCTTATGTTCCCACCTTGCTGAGAGTTTTTATCAAAAAAAAGTGTTGGATTTTGTCAAATGCTTTTTCTGCATCAGTTGACAATGTGGTTTTTATCTCCATGCCCGAGTCCTACAGTCCAGGGAGTGCCCATAGCGGTAGTAGTCTTTCCTTGTCCAAGAGAGCCTGGTCTGCCAGCCCCTCCTGTTCCTGCGAGATTTAACTCCCTTACTCATACACACACCACATACATCCACACACTCACTTTTTATACCCTAACTCACTTCCTCTCTCTCACCTCTGTCCTACCAGCTGCCATCTTTTTCTGAAACCAAAACTTTTTAACATAAGTTTTGTCCCATTTAGAATTTGGAAATATAATGCAGTATTGGGGACATACTTATACTAAAAGTACCAAAATGGGACTTTACATACTTTAACAAGTCATAGCTCAATTTTGAAAACGAAATGTATTTTAATAAATACTGCCTTTATAACCATTCAAAATGTGTTTATACATTTTTAGGGGTTCTGTGTGTGTGTGTGTGTGTGTGTGTGTGTGTGTGTGTGTGCAAAGAAGATAGGAAATAATATTTTGTCCTCTAAGGAGGGTTTTGTTCCTCTTAAAAACAAAAGAAGATAACATACGAAAATTTTCTATAAGTATAAAGTAATATAATATGAAAAATCTTTTAAAATAACTCAATTCAACACCTTCCTTCCTATTGGTTTCCAAATCATTAATATTAATGCTATCTTTTAGCTTACTTAGAAATGAGCATAAAGCACATTTTCATTTCCAAGTATATAGGGGAAAGGGAGCCACATTAATTAAAACAAGTAAAGAAATATTACCACTAAATTAAGACTATAATTTGACCAAGTTAATACCTTGAATGCATTTAACATTTACTGCTAAATAGTTTTAAAGGTAATCTGATTTTGTGAAGTAATGTAGAAATATGTGCAATTTTTTTCCATTGGCTCCGTAGATTACCACTGTCTCTTCATAATACAATATGAGCAATATGTAGAATTTTTAGTTGTCTAGTAGTCATATTAAAAAAAAAGGTGAAATTAATTTTAATGACATCTTATGTAATCCTGTGTATCCAAAATACTTTCATTTCAGCATGTAATCAGTATTTTTAAATTATAGAGATATTTTACTTAAAAATTTTTTTGTACTATAGCATGCTACCATTTGGACAAGCCACATTTTAAGTGCCCTATAGATACCATTTACTTGGTCTCACACTCACTGGTAGTATATTTGTTAAGTATGAGAGAAGACATAGGTCCAGACATCCCAACATTTATCTGTTTGGTAGCACTTATCTGTTTGGGGCATGTAATATTGATATCTTTTCCAGATTCAAATATCTTAATTTCGGATCCAATTTCAGTTTACTATCTATAACAATAAAAGCATAATATGCTAATTAGACCAGACGTCCTTCCTTCCGGACAAAGCGGACAAAGCCGCAGTGGGCGGGAGCCGAGGCAGAGGCAGCAGAGGTCCCTGACAGTGGCAGCGGGAAGGGCCCGGGGAGGGGCACGAATTTCATGCATCAGGCTTCTAATATAGTCTATATATGTTTAGCATCTATTATGTATCAGTGTTGGAATAAACATATTTACTGTACTGATTGAAATACTTGTTATTTACTAAAATTATGTATTTTAGGTACTGTATTGAGGTTAAAGGGAGGGATCCTGAGAATGGCATTCCTGGACACCACAGGCTGCTTAGTGCCACCTGCCTATGAATCCTGGAGAGAACACAACGTTCCTGAAGAAAAAGATGAAAAGGAGAAATTGAAAAAAAAACGGCCAGTCTCTGTATCCCCTTCTTCCTCTCAGGAAATTAATGAAAACCAGTATGCAGTGATTTGTTCTGAAAAGCAAGCAAAAGTAATCGCACTGCCAACTCAGAACTGTGCTTATAAGCAAAACATTACAGAGACCTCGTTTGTTCTTCGGGGAGATATTGTGGCATTGAGTAACAGTATCTGCCTTGCCTGCTTCTGTGCCAATGGACATATTATGACTTTTAGGTGAGAGTTAGGTTATTTTTTAAACACATCGTATTTCCTCTCTCTAAACATAGCATTATAGAATGATAGTTTGAAAGAAATTATTTTATTTATTTTTAGTCTTATAAACTGATAATTTAATTCCATTCAGTTAATAGTGATCAAGTATATGAAGACTAGAAATCAGTTTTATCTCCCATTCAAGTGCAATAAGTCATAAGGTTTATAGGGTCCCTGCCATTTTTCCCTTTTATAATACTTGTTTAAAACTAAAACCTACCTTGTTTGTTATTAACAAGTTTTTAATTTTTTTCTCAAGTTTGCCAAGTTTAAGGCCTCTATTGGATGTGTATTACTTGCCCCTTACCAATATGCGGATAGCCAGAACGTTCTGCTTCACCAACAATGGACAAGCATTATATCTTGTTTCACCTACAGAAATCCAGAGACTCACTTACAGCCAAGAGACCTGTGAAAATCTTCAAGTAAGTAACAAAAATATTACTATAGTTTCTTCCAGGGTGAAATATTCTCTAAGGGCCTTTATAATATACTTTACACTTACAGGAATGTACATATGAGTCTGTGTGGAACATCCCAAGCCTTTGTCAAGACTTTCAGAGCACAAGTGATCAAGTGTCTTCATCAGGCTTTCAATATAAGAGGGACTTCATCTCATTGATCTATATTTTTTCTCTGCTGTGATGGCAAAGATATATATGAAATGTTACATACATTTTATATCTACTGTCTACATAGAATAAATAGCTATTATACACATGCACCCAAAAAAAGTTCTTTTTAAAGAGTTATTGCTAATGTGAAAATAATTCTGTTTAGAGCAAATTGTGTCATCCCTTCTCTGTAGTTGCAAGGATGTGAAAAATAAGGTTTGATAGTTTTCCTCTGAATTTTTTTGCTGATTTATAGGGTGTCCCCCAAAAAAATATATGCACACTTTGAATAATTATAAAGTCACTATTTATTAAAATACATTTCATTTTCAAAATGTAATAGAAACCAGCTATTAAAGTGTGTATACATTTTTTGGGACACCCTCTATTTGTGATAGACTACATACAAAGTCTTTAAATATAAAACCATGTCTTTTCAATTATTTAAGTTCCTGTATGCTTGCTTATATATTATAAATCATTATTTTAGCTTCAGCATTTAAAATCAAATTGCTCTTGAAATATTGAGCTACAACATTAATTGATATTTGGTATTTAGGAAAAAATTATCCTGAAATTAATTAGCCCTATTTTACTTGTTAGTAAATTGGAATTTGTAGCTTATTTTTAGCACATGATCTTTAGAGTGAAGAAAACTGTATATGAGTCCCAGCCTTGCTAATTACTGAATTATGTGACCTTAGACAAGTAATTTACTGGCTCTGAGCTTCTACATCTTTAAAATTAGGATAAAAATAATACCTATCTGCACAGCAAAAGAAGCTGCCAACAAAATAAAAAGGCAACCAACCAAATGGGAGATGATATGTACAAACAACAGCTCCTACAAAGAGTTAATATCCAAACTAAAGAACTCATACAACTAAATACCAAACAATCCAATTAAAAAATGAGCAGAGGACCTGAATGGACACTTCTCCCCAAAAGAAATACAAATATTCAACAGATATACATATTTTTAAAAATGCTCAACTTCACTAGCTGTTAGGGAAATGCAAATCAAAACTACAATGAGATACCACCTCACACCTGTTAGAATGGCTGTTATCAACAAGACAAGTAAGTGTTGGAGAAGTTGTGGAGAAAAGGAAACTCTTGTTCATTGTTTGTGGGAATGTAAACTGGTATAGCTGTTATGCCCAGACTTCGTGATCCCCAAGGACCACCAGGGAGCCGAGTCCGATGCAATAAACAAAAGAGCCTTCTCCATGCTAGCATGGGCCCCTCCCACCCACGCCGGCAGCATGGCAGAAGAGCCCGAACTTCTCCCAGTCCAGGGGTTTTACTCTGGTCGGTGGTGATGTCACTGCCTCGGCTAACCCTGATTGGTTGGGTGAGGGCTAGGGATAACTCCGCCCTGCGGGGCGGAGTCGGGAGCTCATTCTCGCCCCGCCCTGCCCTCTCAATAGCCACTGTGGAAAAGTTTGGTGGTTCCTCAAAAAATTAGGATTAGAGTTATCATATAACCCATTAATCCCTCTTCTAGGTATTTACCGGCAAACTTAAAAACACTTATTCACAAAGATATATGCACCCCTAAATTCATTGCAGCATTATTCAAGGTATAGCCAACACATGAACACAACCAAAGTGTCCTTCAATAGGCAATTGGATAAAGAAGATGTGGTGCATATATACTGTGGAATAGTACTCAATCATAAGGAAAGATGAAATGCTTCCACTTGCCACAGTATGGATCAACCTTGATAATATTATGTTAAGTGAAATAAGTCAGAAAAAGCTAAATACCATATGATTTCACTCAGAAAGAAACTCTAAAAAAAAAAAATTAACACTTTAGCTCCAGCAATAATAATGTAATACTACAGTACAGCAGGACTGGTACTGGGAACCAATATTGTGTTTGTGTTTTTTCTCTTCATTGCAATCCCACAGTCTCACTATACTTTTATTTTGCTTCTGGAGTGCTGGAAACCAATCATTGTCTCACTAATAGAAAAAGACTGGTCAACCTTGAAGCTCTGAAAGGTCAGAGCCAACCACACCCTATCTAATGAGACAATAGTAACTGAGGCAACTTCTTCTTCTTGTAATCATGTAAATCTTTACTGATATGATAATCCACTTATTACCTGCCTAAGGGCTATTGGTGTTTCCCAAAGCTGCTTAAGGGTAATGGGTGTATCCCATAGCAGCCTCAATAAAAGGGATAGCAAGGCCAGAGCCTAGAGAGTCTTCCCACTAGAGGTCTACTCCCGCTTGCCCCCCCCCCCCCCCGCATTTGTCCCAAATTAACTCTTTTCTAGTCTCTCTCTTCATTTTAGTGTGTGGCCTCCTCCAGAAACCGGACCCTGAGTGGGCCCTAATCACGCAGGTCTTGTTAAGGGTTTCCACACTGGAGCTTTTCAAAGCTGCCTCATAAATAACATTGTTACTACCCTTCTCTTTCTTACAGACACTCCTCTTCCTCTCTGTGTTATCTACAAAGTTAGTAACATTTCTTGTCTCTGGCCTTTGCCATTTATGTCCTTAGAACATTGATAGTAATTCCAACAACTGACCATATAGGAAGCTTTCCCATCTTCCAGCCATATTTCTGAAATTCCATATGTGGGGGCATAATTCTCTTCCTAGTATATATTTATAAAAAATAAGTTGGTGTATCTTTCTAAATTACTTATTTTCTGACTGCTGAAGAGTAGTAATTCCAAAACTGCATTTCATCATCATTACACTAGGCTTTTAACTTGTTAGTCACTTTTCTTTTTTCTAATGGAAGAGAAACTAAGTATTCAGATACCAATTCTTAACTATAAAAGATATGTGAAAATTTTGTCAAAGGTTGGAATCTTCTAGTTTAAGCAGGAATATTATCTTTGCTTGAAATATAAGTAAAGTAAACTAGCCAAAACAGCAAGTCAGTCTTAGTCAATTTTGTTTTAATAACTTACGGTTTGACTAAGTTGGTATATATTGGGTCTTATCATTTGAAATGTGCTCTTTTTAAAAAAAATATTGGCAGATAATGTTATACTTTAAATTAAAAAGATTACAGTGATAGTTTCGTGAAATGTAGTTTAGTTTCCCTGAAACTTTAACAATTGCAATTTGTTTGGATTTTAAAGGAAATGTTGGGTGAACTCTTCACTCCTGTAGAAACACCTGAAGCACCAAACAGGGGATTCTTTAAAGGCTTATTTGGAGGTGGTGCACAGTCTCTTGATAGAGAAGAACTATGTAAGTTGATTTATTTAATTTGGGTAATATATCTTAAAGCATAAACATTCAAGCCAAATTTTTTACACATGTGTATATTCACCTTTTCCATCTTTGTCACAATAATTAACATATTTATGTTTTATTATAGCAGTATATATGAAATTATTTTCTGTTGCTCTAGCTTAAACCAGGAACTATTTTACTCAGGAAACCAAAATCAGAATAGCTTCTGGTAGCTAAAATGAGTATTCACAACTTGATATGAATAATTTAGAAAGTATTCTTATTAAATGTGATCATTATTATTTTAATTCTATAATTGACTTTGATGGCCTTAATGAAAGTCCCCAGAACTATTCTTCTTACACTAGAAGGTTATTTAAAACTAGAGGCCCAGTGCATGAAATTCGTGCATGGGAGGGGAGGAAAGGATATCCCTTAGTCCAGTCTGCACCCTCTCCAATCTGGGACCTCTTGAAAGATGTCTCTCTGACTGCCCGTTTGGGCCAGGACTGCTGGCTCCCAACTGCTCGCCTGCCTGCTTTCCTGATTTCCCCCTAACCACTTTTGCCTGATCACCCCCTAACCACTCCCCTTCCTGCCTGATTGATACCTAACTGTTCCCCTGCCAAAACTGTTTGCCCCTACTTGCCGTTCCCTGCAGGCCTGGTCACCCCTAACTGCCATCCCTTGTAGACCTGGTCTCCCCCAACTGCTCTCCCCTTCAGGCCTGGGTCCCCCCCCCCAACTGCCCTTCCCTGCAAGCCTGGTCACCCCCAACTTCCCTTCTCTGCCAGCCTGGTCACCCCTAAATGCCCTCTTCTGCTAGCCTGATCACTCCCAACTGCCCTCCCCTGCTGGCCATCTTGTGGTGCACATGGGGGCAGCCATCTTGTGTGCTGGAGTGATGGTCAATCTACATATTACTCTTTTATTATATAGGATAGAAGCCTAGTGCATGGTGGGGTGGGCGGCCTGGGCAAGGGGCCTGTGGTGGTTTGCAGGCTGGTCACATGGCAACACAAGTGGAGGCCCTGGTATCTGGGATTTATTTATTTTTTCTACAATTGAAACTTTGTACCCTGGAACAGAGCCAAGCCTTCTGCTCCCTCTATGGCAGCAGCCATTTCTGTTGAAATTTATCTTCTGTAATTGAAACTTTGTAGCCTGGCATGGAGGCCTAGGCTGCCTGGGCTGTAGAAGGTTGGCTTCCTTCATTGCTGGGGGCAACCCTAGCCTCTTGCTCTTCCAGCTCTGTGGCTGCCACCATTTCTGTTGGAATTTATTTACCTTCTATAATTGAAACTTTGTAGCCTTGAGTGGAGGCCTGAGCCGGCAAGGGCAGGCAGAAAGCTTGGCTTCCTCCATTGCCAGGGAAACCCAAGACTCACTCCTGCTCTCTGTGACCACAGCCATTTTGGTTGTGTTTATTTTTATATTTGCTTCTGATTGGCTGGTGGATGTGGCTTGTTGGTGTAGCAGAGGTATAGTCAATTTGCATATTACTCTTTTAGTAGATAGGATAGCAAGATCTGATTCATTTACTGCCTTCCACATAATAGGGAACAAATTAGAAATTGGTCCTTGAGTGAACTAATGAATCAAATTTTTTATCATATCTTTTAAGTAGTAGGAATTATCCTCAAATTTTATTTTTTATTCTCTTTTTTTTCCTAAAATATTTTAGAATTTTGCTTTTGTTTTTAATTAGAAAGTCTGTAAGATTAGATGCCAGTAAATAGCAGTGCAGTGCAATTTTACATTTAAAAACTTACCTGATGAATGAGGATTAGTCCATTTTAAATTCATTTTAGTCAAAATCGGTTTGGCTCAGTGGATAGAGCATCGACCTGCAGACTGAGAGTTCCTAGGTTCAATTCCGATCAAGGGCATATACCTTGGTTGTGGGCACATCCCCGGGAGGGGAAGTATAAGAGGCAGCTGATCGATGATTTTCTCTTATCAATGTTTCTAACTCTCTATCCCTCTCTCTTCCTGTCTATAAAAAAATCAATAAAATATTTTTTAAAAATAAATTAATTAAAAAAAAAAAAAAAAAGGAAGACTGTACTTCACGTCCTTTAGGATTGCTAATCTACCTAATCAAAGAGTAACATGCTAATTGACCGTACCTTCTTGACACTCACCAGCCAATCAGGAGTAAGTATGCAAATTAACCTGACAAAGATGAAGGGTTAATTGTATGGGCGGGCGCCGAGCATCATGGCGATGATGCAGGTGTTCTGCACCACACCAGCCACTCCAGGCCTCTGGGAAGTGAAAGACCAAAATAAATGGAAAGAGACATCATATTTTTATAGTAGAAGATTCGTTATATGACATCAGTTCTCCCAAAACTGATGTATGGATATATACATATATGCACATATATATGTATGTGTGTGTGTATATACATATGCACATATATATGTATGTGTGTGTGTATATATATTTAGACACACACCTGCACATTTTCCCCCAAAAAATGAAATTTTGTAAATTATTTTAAATTTTACATGGGAATTCTAATTTTACTTCTATTTAACATTGTACTAGAGACTTTAGCCAGAACATTAGGCAAGAAAAAGAAATAAGGGGAAATGGTGAATAACATAGATTGATGAACAAAAACAGACCTGGAGATAAGGAGCCATGGGTCAGACTGTTGGACCCATGGGGATAAAAGGGAGAGATCAACTAAAGAACTTATGTGCACACATATGAGCCTAACCAGTGGTCAAGGACAATGGGGGGGAGGGGACTCTGGGGGGGAGGATTGGAATGGGAGGTTGAGGACTGATATGTGATACTTTAATCAATAAAGAAATTTAAAAAAAAGAAAAAAAGAAAAGCCATGAAGACTTCAGTACAAGAAGTAAAATTATATTCACAAATGAAACATTCTTGCATATAGAAACTCATCAGAAATACACGCACAAAAAATTATATTTAATACACAAGTTTAGCAAGATTGCAGGATACAGATCAACATAATAAATTGCATTTGTTTATGCTAGCAGTGAACAAACCAAAAACTAAATTAAGAAGAAAAAAATTTTTTTTTAATATATTTTATTGATTTTTTACAGAGAGGAAGGGAGATGGATAGAGAGCTAGAAACATCGATGAAAGAAACATCGACCAGCTGCCTCTTGCACACCCCCTACCAGGGATGTGGCCGCAACCAACGTACATGCCCTTGACCGGAATCGAACCTGGGACCTTTCAGTCCGCAGACTGACGCTCTACCACTGAGCCAAACCGGTTCCGGCAAGAAGAAAATTTTTAATAGCATCAGAAGATAAACCTGGCCATGATGGCTCAGTTGGTTGGACATAGTTAGTCCCATGCATTGATTCCCAGACAGGGCTTATGCCCGGATTGCAGGCTTAATCCCCAGTAGGGGGCTTGCAGGAGATAGCCCATCAGTGATTCTCATCATTGATGTTTCTGTCTCTCTCTACCTCTTCCTTCCTCTCTGAAATCAATAATACACACACACACACACACACACACACACACACACACACACACACATATATATATATATATATATATATATATATATATATATATATATATATATTACAAATAAATAACAAAGCTGGACCCCAACCTCATACCATACACAAAAATTAACTCAGAATGGATCAAAGACTTTAATGTATGTGAAGTGTTAAAACTATAAAACTCTTAGAAATATAAATCTTTGTAACCTTAGATTAGGTGATGGTTTCTCAGATACGACACCTTAATCATAGCAAATGAAATAAAAAAAATAGATTGGATTTCATCAAAATTAAAAGCCTAAGAACACTATTAAAAAAGTAAAAAACAAACACAAAATGTGGTAAAATGTTTGCAAATCATATATCTGATATATGTGATAAGAATCTACTATACAAAATATATAAGGAACTCTTACAACTCAACAATAAAGAGACAAATACCTCAATATGTAGCTTATTTTTAAGTGTACGAAGGGTTTGAATAGATATTTTTCTAAAGAAAATATAGAGATGGCCAGTATACACATGAAAAGATGCTGGACATTTGTCATTAGGGAAATGCAAATCATAACGACAATGAACTGTCACTTCACACTTACTAGGGTAGCTATAATCAAAAAGACATACAATAATGAGTGGTCTTAAGAATGCTGAAAAGTAGAAACCCTCATACATTGCCAGTGAAAATGTAAAATGCTATAAACTGAAAAATTCTGGTAGTTCCTCAAAAAGTTCAAGTTATCAAGTGACCCAAAATTACACTCCTAGATATATACCCAAGAGAATTGAAAACACATGTCCACACAAAATCTTGTGGGAATGTTCATATTAGCATTATTTATAATAGCTGAAAACTATTCAAAATGCCCATCAACTGATGAATAGATAACCAAAATGTCATCAGTTCATACAAAGGAATATTATTCTATCACTAGAGGCCCAATGCATGAAGATTCATGCAAGAATGGGCCTTCCTTCCCTTGGCTGTCAGCACCACCTCGCTCAGGCCTAGAGCTGCCTTCCCACTCTGCCCAGCGGCCCCAAGCGGCTGGGGCGGTGCGGAACACCGGCGTCATCACCCCCAGCCACTTGGCACCAGTATGTGCAAATTAACCTGCCAGCTTTGTTGGGTTAATTTGCATACTCACTCTTGATTGGCTGGTGGGCATTGTGAAGGTACCATCAATTTGCATCTTTCACTTTTATTAGTATAGATTTAAAAGGATGAAGTACTGATACATGCCATAGCATGTTTGAAGCTTGACAACATTTTTTTTAGTGAAAGAGATCAGACCTAAAAGACTACATATTGTATGGATTCATTCATATGAAGTATTCAGAATATGAAAATATGTAGAGAATTGATTACCAAGGACTAAGAAGGGAGGAAAATGGACATTGGTTTCTGATAAAAGTTGGGAAGGGTCTTTATGTTTTGTTTTTAGTAGTGATGAAAATACTCAAGAATAGATAGTAATGATGATTGAAAAGCTTTTGAATTAACTAAAAGGAACATTTTTTTTTATGGTATGTGAATTATATTGCTAAAGAAAGAAATGTATGCTGAGGAAATAGGGACTATGACATCAGATTTTAACAGAATTTAAGACTTGCAGTAATCTAGGTAGTTAGAGGCTGGCTAATGAAGGGAAACGAAGCAATGAATGTCTGAAATCTTTTTAAGGGAAAAGTTAATCTATTTGGTAAGTGACAATATAAATAGAGAGGAAGAAAGGGATGTAATATATCTATATTTTGGAGCCTAAAATAGAATACTGTATAAATTCTTTATTTTTCTTTTTTTTCTTCTAAGCCCTTAAGCATAGTATTTTAAGCATGGAGTAAATAAAATAAATTAAATCTGTATATTTAAAACTATGTGTTTGAATTTAGATATCTTTAATTTATATTCAGTTTTTTTCACACTTAATAGTAATTTTTAGTGTTATTTAAATTGGTGTCAGCATACCCATTATTCATTTCAACAAAAAAATTACCAGTCCCTTCTTTGCACAAATCCTGTTATATAAAAAGTAAAATATTTAAATGTACAATTTTTGCATGTTTTAAAAAATATCTAAAAATTAAAACCATCATAATAAAAACATTTATTAATTATGAAGTGAAATATATAAATACTTCCATTATATTGTCATTCAGTCTAAAAATTGTTTTAGTGCTATCAGGTAGTAGGACTTTAAAAAAAATTTAAATGTTTTTATTGATTTCAGAGAGGAAAGGAGAGAGATCAAAACATCAATGATGAGAGAGAGTTATTGATAGGATGCCTCTGCACGCCTCTTACTAGGTATCAAGCCCACAACTTGGGCACGTGCCCCTGACCAAAAATCGATCAGGACCCTTCAGTCCACGTGCTGATGCTCTATCCATTGAGCCAAACTGCTAGAGTTAGGATTTTATATTAGTAAATTTTTCATTTTCTTAGTTCCTCTTTCATTTACCCATTTGTTCAGTTGGAGAATCGTCCTCAGGAAAGGCTTCGAGAAGTCTTGCACAACATATCCCTGGTCCTGGTGGCATTGAAGGTGTGAAAGGAGCAGCATCTGGAGTCGTCGGTGAATTAGCACGAGCCAGGTTGGCACTGGATGAAAGAGGGCAGAAACTGGGGGACCTGGAAGAAAGAACCGCAGCTATGTTGTCCAGCGCGGATTCATTCTCTAAACATGCTCATGAGGTGCGTGTAGCAAATGTTTAAGCAAAAAGAAAAGAAAACATCTCAGTAAAACAAGTATGGAAATTACTGAATTCTTACAGCTATTTTATATCTGCACATGAATTTTTGCGTATCCTCTTTACAATGGGAAATTCCTGATTTTTGCCACCAGAGGGAACTATAATATTACAAGAATATGTCTCAGTAGCTTTTGGTCTTTTACTGGAGTTTATAAATCTGAGGGACCTGTAGACCTTTTCTCTGCAACTGTTTCTTAGGGAATGCAGTAACACAGCTAACTTTCCTAAATGCCTCAGATTCTACCAATTTCTCTTGAGAGAAGGAAATAATTTTCCTCTCTAGATTCTTTAGGTAGATCTAAATGACTAGTATTATCAAGCACTTTTATTCAATAGTCAATACTAACTCTGTAGGCCAGTTCAGACAGAGAAATAGTAAGATGCATTTTTGCAGCAAATTCATCTTGAAGAGCTAGGACATCATTGTGGAGCTTAGAAAGGGAATGTATAAAGTATGCTTCCTAGCTGATCCTCTTACAAATAGGCTTTATTAGCCAACATAGTACACTTTAAAAACTGAATATAGGCCTTTAGATTCAATACACTATTTTCATTTTGACCCATAAGTCTGCCGTTCCTTGATGCTTTACGCTGGGTTACTTCAGGCATTCACTTCCTCACCTATACCTTGAGGACGTTTTGAGTTTGTTGTCTGAAAAATCCATATTAAGGTTTTATGTTTGAATACCCAATCTACCAGCAAAGAGATCTGTAAATTTTTCAATCAAAAGTCATCTCTTTTTTTGCTCAAGAATGCTGTCTCCTAGAATGCATAAGAGAAATAAATTGATCTGGAAAAGATTTGTTCAGGGCTTCAAAGAGAATCAGAGGTCCTTTGTCAGCCCTTGTACTAGGCCAGCATACCTCAGATATAGTCTAGCAGCCTTTGATCTAGGGCAGGAATTTGTTGACATAACCCTACACCTGAATGTGATCTGTAAAGCATATAACACTTCAGCCAATTTAAGAATATATCTACACTAAATATTTAGCAAAGAGCTCAAGTTGGTAGGTTTTCCTCTTGCCAAATATTCTTTAGTTATATTTTAGAGTGTAAGGAAGAAAATACATTGAGGAAGCTAAGATTATAGGTTCTTGAGTCAGAGTATGTGGGCTCAAACCCAGTTTCACCATTGTATTGTTTTGAGTAATCCCTTTAAGCTTCAGTTTCTTCATTTATAAAATGGGAGAATAATAATGCCTGAAGCATAGAGTTATTTTGAGAACCAGATGAACTCATAAGGAAAGTGTGTCATGCATTGCTAGCTCAGGAAATTTTAGCTGGCAGTCATGTTAGAATTTCGAACCTTTTATTCCCAGGTTTGTTTGTTTTTATTATATTTTTATTGATTTCAGAGAAGAAGGGAGAGGGGGAGAGAGCTAAAAATATCAGTGATGAGAGAGAATCATTGATCAGCCGCCTCCTGTGTGCCCCACACTGGGGATAGAGTATGCAACTTGGGCATGTACCCTGATCAGGAATCAAACCAGTTAATAGGTCAACATTCAACCACTGAGCCACGCCAGCCAGGCCATTCCTTGGTTAAGCAGTATTTCTAGTTAAAATTAAAGAACTGAAAATTAATTTATTGGTATTAGCTTAGGGCACCAAAGATAGTACTGAGCCAAAATTTTATTATGTCATGTGTCTAAGACATGTGAGGGTCTTCTAGTCTGGTTCTTAATAGTTATGAACTTTTTTTTCTAAGTGAAACAATTCTTATCACTTTCATTATAAGTTAATTGGAAGTAAATAATAGTGACATTAGAGAATGTTTCAGAATGGTAAGTTTTGGAAAAATATAGTAATCAGTTATAACTTACGAATGTTGTTGTTCTGTCATTTTTTAAACATGTTTTTCATGTTTTCTCCCATTTAGATGATGTTGAAATACAAAGATAAGAAGTGGTACCAGTTCTGACCACCAGAAATCCAACTAAGTTCAACTTCAGCCAAAAGGAAAAAGAATTTTCCTTTTTCATTTCATTGATTTCACTTTAGGAAAGTTAACATTAAAGGATGTTCATCACTGGATACTGTTCTTTCCTAGCACAATTATGCACTGTTTTACCTCAGTCATGTGGCTTTACTGAGGAGTGTCCACATGCTAGTGTGGAGTATATGGTCTGTGCCAACTATGAGATGACCGTTTGGGAACTAAGCAGGTTGCACATTACAAAGGAAGAAACCAGGGGGATGTTGAGGAGCCATGGCAGGACTATTCCTGGATCATTCCTGTATTAAACTGTCATATGCCAAAAGATTTGTGCTGTTGCATCTGCCATCAGTGTTTGACCTCTGAGGGAGAGGCAATAAGATAAAGCTCTGAAGCATAAATGGTTATGTTTGGTCTCATTGACTGAATTATAAACAGTTGTCTTGGACTTTCCCTCCCTTAAACTGACTGGTCCTCAGTATCATTAGTGAGAAAGAAATGAACTGTGTGTTACCAAATCTTTACACAGATAAGCTGAATGGCGGGCTTTAAATAATAAAGACATACACATGGTTGACTTGTGTATGGGCCACTCTTGGATTCTTGTCATTGTATACTTGTGTTTAGTCCATATTTTGTCAAAAACAAAACAAGGTGATACACCACTTTTCATTGAAAAGAAAAGTGTAGAGCATGACTGAACTGCTCGTCATCCCGGGAGTTTCCATGTAGTGGCTACCCAGTGTGGAGAGTGAGGAAAACCTCCATTGTGGTGAGGAGAATACTTCAGTGTCCTTTGTCCTCATTCTCATTGATTCAGCTAAAGGTGGATTTGACCAAAAGAGTTACTGGTTAAATTTGTAAAAAACGTTGAAATTGGCTAAGTTTTTAATTTTGCTTGAATTTTTATAAAATGTTTAACCAAATGTACCTTTGCATTATTTAATTAAAATTGCTTAAAAAACGTTTCATTATTTCAATAAAGTGCTCAGCTCCCTTTTTTAAATATCCCTGATTTGCTAATAGTTCCAGTACACTCAGGTGATGAGTCAATTAAATCTTAGTGCACATGCTGTCGCATGGAAAACTACAAGCATCTGTTGTCAATAATTATCTATAAGAGTCTAGTCTGATGACGTATGAAATATTTTCTGTAGACGTATACTATACATCTGTACATGTCCTTTCAAGGTTTTAAAAAGCCCAAGGAAAGGAAAATATGTGCATTTTTGTAATTAAATTATATCTGTATTGGAATGTAATGCCAATGAGACCATCAGTGGACAGCAAATGATGGGTTCCTAAATAGCATTGCAGACAAAAGACAACTCGGTAGACTTTGGAAGTAAGTAATCTCAAACGCCGGTATCTGAGATTATTATTGATTGTTACTAAAGCAATGAAGGAAAAGCAAAATAGAAGCATTACACTTAATGAAATTTAAATATTTTTTTCTATAAAAATTTGTTTAAAACCAGTTTCTTTTTTCATCGAGATAATCAGAGCACAAATTGATAGCAAACATGCTGTTGTTTTTCTGTTCATTAAAGGTAAGGTAGAACACCTTAATTTCATGCAGTCTGTTAGGCATCCTTTCCTCTTTACGCTTTTCATTCATAAAGCCTTTTGTTTACATTTTTATAATGTGCACTACGGGATATAAAAGTTTACATTAAAATTTACTTTAAATATCATTAGAGAGGGACTAAATATATGTGATAGAGATAATTGACTAAGCCAAAAGAAATGTTTTAAAGATATAGTACTTTCACGAGTTTTTGAATTTGTAGAAAGTATGTATTGATAAAACGTATTTCTGTTTTGTTATTGTCAACTGTATGATGAACATTCAGCCGTTTACAAATTGTTTAATTTTTATTGTACATTATCTAATAAACCCATTGTTCCATATGTCACAGGAAGTAGTAGGCCCTTTTTTAAAGGTATATCGGGTCTAGTAATAATTAATGTCGTTTTTAACATTCGTTTAAAATCTTGCTTGGCGTTGACTTGTATTGACATAACCTTCAAACACGTGGTATCTACAGAACGTGTGAAGTGCAATTAACAAGTTTTGCTTGAAAAAGTTTGTGTTTGGTTTGGTTTTTGTTGCAAAACTAGGGCTAAGAAGATGGCGGATAAAGAGCATATTCGGCACTGCATGCTTTACGAGTTCCAATTAAGAAGAAAAGCAAGTGAGGCTGCAAAAAACATCTGTAGTGCTCTTGGTCAAGATGCAGTTAGCGCCAGAAAATGCCAGCGTTGGTTTAAGAAATTTCGCGAGGGAAATTTTTTGTTAGATGACAAGAGTGGTCGAGGCCGTGTGTCCAATTTTGATCAAGAAGCTCTTCAAGCTCTTTTGGTGCAAAATCCTCAAATTACCCAACAAGAGCTTGCGACAACTTTAAATTGTTCACAAAAAACAATTTCCAATCAATTGCGTGCACTTGGCAAAGTCCGAAAGTTTGGAAAATGGGTTCCTCATGAGTTGACCGACAACAACCATAATCAAAGAGTCACAATTTGCAGTTCGCTCCTCTCTCGTCAAAACCATTTGCCGTTTTTAGAGCAAATTGTTACCGGAGATGAACAATGGGTGCTGTATGTTAATTTGAAAAGGCGGCCTCAATGGTTGGACAAAAATGAGGCTCCGCAGCCCACGCCAAAACCTGACTTGCATGGGAAAAAAGTGATGTTGTGTGTTTGGTGGAATTTTAAAGGAATTCTTCATTATGAACTTTTACCATCTAACCAAACCATTACAAGTGCAGTGTCTAGTGCCCAATTGGAAAGGTTAGCCCAAGCTTTAAGAGAAAAAGAACCCGCGCTGATTAATCGGAAGGGCGTAATTCTTCACCACGATAACGCACGACCGCATACTGCAAGAATCACTGCTGAAAAACTGCGCCAGTTGGAATGGGAAGTTCTCCCTCAACCTGCATATTCTCCTGATATTGCCCCTTCCGATTACCATTTGTTTCGTTCTTTGCAAAACTTTCTTTTTGGAAAAAAATTTAATAATGAAGAATGCCTCAAAAATGCATTGACCGAATTTTTTGCATCAAAATCACAAGAATTAACAGAGGGATTAAAATCCTTCCTGAGCGTTGGGCACAAGTAGTAGAAAACAACGGCAACTATATTGTTGATTAAATTTTGTTGTATTGTTTAAATAAATTCGATTTAAAAAACTATTAGAAAACGACATTAATTATTACTAGACCTAATAGTTATAGATTTTGAAGTTGAGAAGCACTAAATAAAGTAATATAATGGTTGATTACCCATTCATGTGTAAGGGCATATTAACTCTACTTAATTTGCTGTATTGTGTTAATTGTATATCCACTTCATTTTTACTGTTGTATATAAAATGAACCAATCTTGTAATTATTTTCAAATAGAGAAGTAGATACATTTACCTGAGATGGATTTTATAAGAAAATTTTAAACCAATATTTTGGGTTACTTTATTTCATTTTTAAATTTACAAATTATGCACAGCACACTAGAAATTTAGGATTAGAAAGCTTGAAGTATTTTTGAAAATAGGAAATAAGCTTCTCGAAGTTATACGTGAGTCAGTCTGTAGATAAGAGACAGTCTGCAGGAATAACTAACCCAGGGAATTTATTGTAATTTGAGAGATAACATCTCTATTTTTTTCTTTTTAAATGCAGAAATAGTCACCAGCAAGCCAAGAATTCAGGAAAACAAACCAAAAAAAAAAAAAAAAAAAAAAGTCAAAGTAGAAAATGTTAGAAAAATGAAAGATTGCGTGTGCTTCCTTCATATCCTCAAACATTATTCTTTGTTGCATTTGTCCTTGGCCCTAGTCGTTGAAGTATTCATTGATGAGCAGTTTGTGAATAGGAAGTGGTTTCCCTATATGTATCACATATCTAGTTCATTTCACTCTTCAGATTAAAATCCATATGTATTTGCTTAGGAAGTTATTTGAAATCTTATATCCTGACAAATTCTGTGTATTATAGCCATTTGAAGTTTTGCATCAACTTAATCCCTTTGGTTTGCATTTCAATTGTACAGAGTGTTTCCATAAATCGTTATAGATATAAAGCCGAGCTATTGCTAACTTAATTTGATTTTTATATGGATGTGAAAAAATGCTGCTACTTGTCTATGTTATGTGTAGTATATTACAGTTTAAGTACAGAACTTTAAAAGAAAAGTGTTTCTTTTGCTTAGAACTTAATTGTAGGTTCCTCTGAAGTTATTTCATGTAGATATGTGAGTGTTTTTAAACAAGTCTGAAAGTGTTACATACTTTTAGGTTATGGACGACATTGGGAAGACAGCTGAGGAAAGGAAAAATATGTAGAAGACACCATGGAGTTTAAAGTTCACCCTGAGTTTTATATTTCATATATGTTTTGCTTAAGGCATTTTCTCATGTGACATTAGAAAAGCTATATCCAAAGGTAACTTTTTTGTGTCAAATATTTATTTTACATTTTAACTTTTGGAATTTTGTTTATTTTTTTTTCCAAAATAAAGAGCACTGAACTTAAAACTTGAATTTTTCTGCACTTTTTTAGGTAATGAAAACTTTTTATCATTTAATCCACATTCTCAGTTCAAATCAAATGATACATATGTATAAAAACATACCAAAATCATGAGTATGCTGCTAGCTGCACCTTAAACAATTAAACTGATCATAGTTTTAAAACCTTTAATAGGTTTTATACAGTTTTCAAGAATAAAAAGCAAAAAATCATTTGCTATACGTTTCAGTGTTCTAGGTTTAAAATTACTGCAACACTTTCAGATTTGTTTTAAGATCATCCAGTAACATGTTATATTTATACATACTGCTAGAGAATATACTTTTAGTTTTAAAATGGAATTTTTATAAATGTACTCTTTAATTTTAAAAATGGTGAACTTGTTAAGTCAAAGTACTTAAAAAGTATGTATATTTTCCATACAGAAAGTTATGTTTCATGCTTATAATAAGAAATACTGGTATCTCATATCGAGATACAATTAATTTTAAAGAATCATACATCATTCAAAAGTCTTCACTCATGACAAGAAAGAGATTATTTCTTTTAATAAAACCCTCTATTGAGCATTTTCAAATATTAACTTTATTTTGGAGAAAATGCCCACAACAATCTTTGCAAGATCTTTCTCAATAGCTGCAGCTTGCTAAGTTGGATGCCTACCTTAACTATTGTTTTAAAATATATATATATATATATATTTAAAATAGTTTTCCAGGTATTTTCTTCTACCTTTTTTAAAAATAAATTTCCAAAAATGAAAACAGAGTTTATGTATTTTTGTCAATGAAGGTTTTTATTTTGTAGTTTATAGAATTTGTTGATCAATATTCCTAGAATTTTTAATCTGTATTTAGTTTAAAAAAGAGCACTCCTCTATCTTAAGTGTCCTCCATTTTTTCCTTTCCCCTTTTAAAGTCTCTGTTCTCTTGAATTGATATTTATGCCCATCTTTTTTTTTTTCTCATTTAAAAATGAATGTGAAGATACTGTTTACAGCTTTTGTTAATTATACTGTAATTATACAGTTTCATCACTCTGATCAATTTCTTATAAAGTACTATGGGGATTATTTTTCCTGTGAATATAAATGATCTTACGACTGTAACAAGTTTGAAAGGTTCTGTGGGCAAAAATAGTTGTGACAACAAAAAGGGGAAACTTGAGCTTACCTTTCTCAGCTGAACTAAATGGGTTTTAATAACTCCCCAGTTATCAGGGTTATCA